AGTATTCATTAAATGCTGCCACATTATTTATGTATTTCAACCACACAACGGATCCACTGGAATTTCTTAAGTAATTGTCATCAACCACTATGTTAATGTAAGTCATTTTTCTTCATTACCAATGTTATCTGTCCAAAATAAGAGTCCAGTTATCTTTCCATCAAATACCATGGACAGTCTTCAATATATTTTCCTATTCTTGGAATTGAGTAGTGCCAATATTTCATCCAGCATTTTTTCCTAGAAGATATAACATGAAGATCTTTCCTCCTTAATTGCAGGGCCATGATATTCTTATGGCTACTATGCTTAATGGAGCAGCAATTATGGATGGAGCATTACTTCTAATTGCTGCCAATGAGAGCTGTCCACAACCTCAGACTTCTGAGCATTTAGCAGCTATTGAAATTATGCGCCTCCAGAATATAATCATTCTTCAGAACAAGGTTGATCTGGTGCAAGAGAATGTTGCCATTAACCAGCACGAGGCCATTCAAAAGTTCATCCAGGTAAGTGGTTTTGAATGGCGTCTGTTTTAAATTCATGCAAGGGATCATTGATCAAAGAGTTTCACACTGTGCTAAACTGCTAATATTATATTCAGGGCACAGTTGCTGATGGTGCTCCAGTAGTTCCTATATCTGCTCAATTGAAATACAACATTGATGCTGTATGTGAATACCTTGTGAAGAAAATCCCCATTCCAGAACGAAACTTCATTTCACCTCCAAATATGATTGTTATCCGCTCTTTTGATGTTAATAAGCCTGGTTCCGAAGTTGATGAGATCAGAGGTGGTGTAGCTGGAGGCAGTATATTGAAGGTATGCTTGTTATTTTAAGTGTTCAATTAGGCTCAGTTTGGAAAGTGGAAAAGACTAGGGGAAAGAGAAATAGGAAGAAAAATATAGGAGATTTTTGAAAGGAAAGAAATTATTAGGGAAAATAAAGCACATTTTCAAAATTAATTTTTTAACACGTTTCCTAAAAAATCTTTAACTGATTTTTTTGAAGGTATGCTTGTTATTTTAAGTGTTTTTTTGAAACATTGATCATCTTTCACCGTTTTTTTGTGGTAAAACCAAACTCCAATAAGTAATGTATCATTCTTTTTCCTAATATTTTATGGGATAGAATTGGGTAATGTGAATTACAATAAGTAATAATTTATTGGAATTCTTTTTCCAATAAGTAATGTATCATGCACCAGATGTAGAATTGTGATAGAATTGATGGAGCACGGGTTGAATTATTTTGAGAATTTTATTGGATAAGAGATGTAAAAGACATTCAATTGAGTTTGCAGGGCGTCTTGAGGGTTAATCAGAGAATTGAGGTTCGCCCTGGTATTGTTGTCAAGGATGAGAATGGGAACATCAAATGCACCCCCATATATTCCAGGATAGTTTCTTTGTATGCTGATCAGAATGAACTCCAGTTTGCTGTGCCTGGAGGCTTGATTGGGGTTGGAACCACCATGGACCCAACATTGACACGTGCTGATCGGCTGGTGGGACAAGTTCTTGGTGAGGTTGGGTCCCTCCCAGAAATCTTTTGCGAGCTAGAGGTGAGTGAAATTTGTAGTTCCATACTTCCCTGTGATGCATTTCCTGTTTCCCCTGTTTACTAGCTCTATTTTAATGTTTCCATGGAGCAAAGTAATTTTTACTTAAAATCACTAATGAAATTTGCAAGGAAAAATGTGAGAAAGTTGAACATTTGTTCAATTTCCATAATTTTCCTTGTTCCGGTTCAATTTCACTTTGTTTTTCTATTTGTCATATAATTAAGGTGGTAGGTGGTTTCCTGTTTTCAGGTTTTGTTCTAATAAATTTAAAGTTATAGAAGGTCTACTCATATACTTCCTCTCCATAATAATTGTAACACCTGCCGCCTTTTCTCGTTTCAATGCACAACGTAAATACAGAGTAATTAATATCTTCAATTACGATTTGGTAAAAATTATCAAAAAACATTAAGAAAGTTTTTATCGAGATGAATGTAACAGGATCCCACATGACTATTTTTACAATTTTATTTAAGTATACATCACCTAAACTGGCCAAATAAAAGTATGAATAGTGTAAAATTCTAACTTTAGTTTGAAAGTCTGTCATGAAAACTAAAAAAATACCCTGTCTCGTTTTTCTTATCAATTGTCCTAAAGAAGTTTTTTTTAACTATTTGAGGAAATATTTGTGTGTGATATTGTCTCCCTTATTTTTATATCTAAATCAAAACTACACAATTGTATTTCCTTAATGATCGTGCCCAGTCAAAACAAAAAATAGGACAAATGGTGTATGAACATATGTAAAAGCTTCAAAAAACATTAATCATATTCCATTTTTGTTGTTGTAATACTAAACAGAAGAAAAATATTGCATTAACATTTTTTCCTTGTTATTTTTCTGTGATCCAAACATACGCGTGGTGTTTTCCTTTAACACAAAATCCAGAAAGAAACCTTCAAACAACATGAGATGTTTATCCATATGAATGCTTTTTCTTGCCTGCTAGGTGAATTTCTTTTTGTTGCGCCGGCTTTTGGGGGTGAGAACAAAAGAGTCAGAAAAGCAAGGCAAGGTAACAAAGCTGACAAAGGGAGAAATACTTATGTTGAACATAGGATCGATGTCCACCGGGGCCCGCGTCGTTGCTGTCAAGAATGTCTTTGCAAAACTTCAGCTGACATCTCCAGTGTGCACCAGCAAAGGTGAGAAAATTGCCCTTAGCCGCAGAATTGAGAAGCATTGGCGTCTTATAGGGTGGGGTCAGATTCAAGCCGGGATTACCCTCGACGTCCCCCCTGCTCCTTTCCAATGATGATGTAAGAGTCTCTCAGCCTTTTTTTTACTCTGTTTCCTGGAGATATTTTTTTTAATCCACCAAAAAACAAAAAAGAAATTGGAATTAAACATGGGATGGGAGGATATTTTGTTCATCGTTTCCAATTTTGAACACTTGATCACATTGTGTTTTTTCTCCATTGCATTTTTAATCATTTTTTTCCCAAACATGGTTTGCTGGAGTGGTCTGTACTTGTAATACATGAGTCTGTTCTGGTCCTTTAATATATTGATTAATTCCGGTTGCGGTCCTTTAATACCCGATTAACATTTTACGTAGTAGAACCATAACCAGAATAGTGAGTAAGTAGCCTCGGGCGGTTCGAGTTCTAGTTAGGGTTCCAAGTTTTTATCTTGAATTGTGTGACATTATAAATGCTGCCCCGGTTCTACTTTTTGTCTCCGGTTTCGGATGCGGAGAGCACAATTTCAAGGTGCTCCCAGTTATGGTCTCTGAGAATCCTAGAATTTGTTCTTTAGATTTTTACATAGCTTTTACATGGTTGAACCATCTTATATCCATAATCCCCAAGCATAGGACGGAAAATGAAGAAAACAACGTACGGCATTATTGTCCTATGAAAGCAACATATGTAACACACACAAACAGTTTGATTCTCAAAGGATGGAATAAAGTCATGTATGCCACAAAAATATTATTCCAAATTTAAATGATGTTTGACTGAAATTATTTTTAAATCAATTTATATGAGAATTGGCGTGAAATTAAAAATTAATTTTTTACAAGTTACTCAAGAAACTAAATGACCTACACATTATTTGTAGGGTTAATCACTTTTTTCAACTATTTTTATAATTATGCGAGTTTGATAAAGTACTCTTCTGTCCCTCAGTATTCATTTAGTATTCTTTTTTGAGTTGTTCCATAATATTTGTCCACTTTCCTATTAAGGTAAAAAAATAATATGTAGTATGAAATGTCCATAACTTAATTTGGGACATGACTGTTTCATAAAGTCAATCTGATATGAGGGCATGTTTAATTGCGGAACCAAGAAAAAAAATTAAGTTCAGATCATCAAACTTCATGGACTCTCGGTCTCAAATAATTTATCTATTATTTAAGACATTTTACTTCTATAAAAGAATATTTAATTTATAAACAACTTATAAATTAAAAATTTCTTACCAATATTAAATCAATAAACATTACTGTAGAGAAACACCTCATAGTTTGTCACCATTTTTTTAGCTTTCTTTGAATTAAGTCTGCTCAAATTATATCATTCTACTCCCTCCATACTTATATCCAACAAAAATAAGATAAATGACAATGCACACGAATAATACTACTTCCTCCGTCCCCAATTTGATTACAAATTATGGGTTACAAAGTAAAATTTTCTACTTTTTTGAAATCATTTTATTTACAAATTGGTATATCAATAAGATATAAAAATTACATATTAAAAAACTACGTCAAAAGTTCTACAAAACAAGATATGATAATAATATTTTATTTTATCAAATACATAATGAAATCGCGTAAACAAACAAAAGTTATCGAGAGGAGAAAAAAAATTGTAATATATTTAGGGACGGAGAGAGTATAAAATTTTGACAATGGCATCTATTTTAGAATGAATGAGTACCAAATTTGGTATTCCTTTCATCCCTAATTTAAGTGCAACCATCTTTTTTTTCCGAAGCTTCTGAAAATAAAGTTTTTATTTCAATGAAAAACTAGTTGCGATCCATCATTTATCTCACCTCCATAAATATCAAATACACAATTTTATCGTTTTAAAAATTAAATGAAGGCAATGTGAAAATTCAAATATAGGAGCAAATATAGTATAATTTGTATTCTTTGAATCAATTCATGCTTTACCAATACAAAAACAACCCCATAATTTTACGTATTCTACATTTGCTTGCCTTTTTTTTAATCTCACCAAAAAAGTCATACCCGAAACGAGAACTGTGACATTTTTGAAAGTTCCAACAAAATAAATCTAATAAAATCATTTTTATAACAATATATATCACTGATTTTTTTAATTGGAGTTTAAAATTTGTCTATAATTTGACTCGAAAAAGTCAAATTTAACAAATACACTAAACCAGAGAAAGTAATAATTCATTGCTTGTGTGAATTAATTACTCTTGCAGTATGTCCACACAAAGTTACCAACACGGTTTACAGCAAAGAGGGGGTGAAAGGAGAACTGAAAAAGATTGGTCCTTCTTGTGGTCGTGATATATTTTCATTGAATAAGGAATCAAAATCACCCCTAAAATGAAGAATTACACATTACATAGAACAGAGAAACTTGAAAAAGAATGGAAAATAGAACTGAAACTGTACATAAGAATAGACAACGGAAGCGCCAGAAGAGATCGAGCCTTGCTTATATATATCTGTTGGTATATATATATATGGAAGCAACCACCGATAACCCCCCCTGGAGTAAAGGGAGAGGCGGCCGCCAGCCTACTCTATCTTCAAACAATAAAAAAAAGAAGAGGGGGAAAAGAAAAACCTAAGCAACTACACACAAACCCTTAAACGACAAATCCTCATGCTGCTGCTGTATCGACTGCAAAATTTTCATCTATCCCAAGCTGCCTGGAAAATGGCGGGTCGGTTCTTCAACCAGATAGCCATTTCCCTATCTACAGAAGTGGCCTTGTGCAACACAACGTCTAGCATTGGGCTGCCCACGATTTTAGGGCTGCCCTTGAATGACCATATCTGATCCTTTGGCCATGGTCTCTGGGGATGCTTCTCCTGCACACATTCATATATAATGCAAAATAAGGGGGTCATATTTGTATCAGTTTCACCGTCATCATAAACACATTAGGACCTGTTTGGTTTGCGCAGGTAACACCATAACGGTAGCAGTTATGGTGGGAAAGAAAATCTCATACCCATACACTTGAGACTTTCAAACCAAACAGGCCCTTAGGAGGGAGAATTGATTGAATACTACTGCTCTTACCATTCTGGATAGCATAAACTTGACTGTCCTGGGGCCATAAACACGCTGGCGTGAAGGCTTCTGGGCTTTGGCATAGAAAGAGTCGATTTCTGGTAGAGACAAGCAACCCCGGCTTGCCCTGGCCAGGCTATTGTCTGGCTCCGCATTTGCTTGATTATGCCAATAAATTAGTTGTCCTAAACAGTAATTCTCACCATACGTCTTCCTATATTCATGCACACCTGGCCCTAGCTTATCAGCATACTTGGGTCCAAGGTCAAGAGGACTGATATATACAGGTGGGGAGGTTACAGTCTTGTATTCCTGAAGTACACAAGATCAACAACACATTGGGCTTTTGTCCTTGAGAGGAGAAACAGAATTCCAAGTCAACAATTTGAATTTTCAAAAATAAAAATAAAAAACGAAAACTCACTCTTATTCTAAAGAAGCACTTTGTGTAAGCATATATATGGATCAAATCAGCAGCAGCATCATTCCGACATTTGTATGTACATGGTAAGTCCCGGACCTCATCCCTCAACCTGGGATGATAATAATAAGAATATGAGTTATTCACCCAACTAATTCTTCCATTTGATGGGGAAAGATGTAGAGAGAAAAAAGAGAGAATATGAGTGGATTTTTTGTGTGTATGGATGAAAGAAAATAAATTTTAATATAAGGACATATCTGCCCTTTATGTTGGTTGACAAAAATATCTAAAGATTAACATTGTAAATGAAAGTGGGTCTCAAATTGAAAGATTTTTGTGGGAAAACCTCCTTTTTCACCCTTTTCCAAACAAAATAAAATTTCTTTTTATCTCCTTTTTTCTTCCAAAAATCACCCCAAAGGATAAGTTCTCGCCCAAGAATATGTTACAAATTACCAGAGTAAAGATCTCCTAAGCTCCCGGCCAACGTCACCAGACCGAGAAGGATCTCGAGCACGAATTTTGGACTTGAGTTCACAGATCACACTGTCTTCCATATGAGTAGACAAGCATTGAAGAAGCTCCTCTACGAGTGACCCCTCTCCTCTCCAAATGAAAGAGGCCGCTGCCTCAGGACTAAGCCTCTCCAATGGAGGAGGCGCCTCTTTTGGATCACCAAACACGCATCTCATGACATACCTTACCTGCAACCAAACTCCACAACGTTTCATTAAGAAAAAATAACTAAATACTTTGGCATCCAAATATAAAGTCATGTTTTAACAAGGCACAGCCTTAAAGTTTCAGTAAGGTCCTACAACTACAGGTCAATTCCAGCAGTATTTATTCAATGTATTTATTGTCCTAATAAAAAAACTATGCTCAACTTCCTGAGGCACTTAATGGAAAACAAGCAACATAAAAAATTAGCTCGTGATGCTCTAGTGGTACTACTTTTTGGGACATATGTAAGTGCTCAAATAAGATCCTCTTTTTTTGGACCATGGATGTATCATTCTTCCATTTTACGCTATAAAAGTGCCTTAAAAAGTTGACTGTGAATATCAATCTGCAGATACCTTATCAAGAGTAAGGGCAAGGTTCTGAAGCCTTTGATTGTAAACACCTTCAGCCTATAGAGAATTAAATAAACACAACATATTAGTGTCTAAAATGAGGTTGCAGGAATTGGAGCTGGGACAAGAAACTGTGAGCAAGTAGCAGAGATGTCCACCTGGATCTCGGCATCATTCTTTTCCACTTCAATGCAAACATCAGAGAAGTACTTCTTCTTCTCTTCCAAATTATTCCTAAGAATCTCATCGGGAAGTTTTATCCTCTCGAGATTGATGAATCTCACCTTTTAACAAGAAACAATAAAACCATCAACATTCATAAGTCATAACACTTTCAGCATATGGCTATCCGTCTATGAGAGATAGACATAGAGGAGACATACCACACGAGCTGAATATGCAATCAACCACTCTGGCAACCCAGCAAGCAAACAACTCCCAAGCCCAGCTTTGCCCAGGTCAATATAGTCATCTTCACAAACTGAATTTAGTTCACAGGCCTCCAACAACAGCCCATGTCTATCTAGTATTCCATGATATTGTTCCATGACCTGCACAGTAAACCATCCTGATTAAAACTGCTAGCGAGACAATAAACAACGAATTAATAATGCCCTTAACACACAAAAAAAAGAGAGAAAGACTGCATCCATCCCCCCACCCCACCGCAAAGTCATGTATCTAAGGTGGTTTTGAAAGTCAACTTTCATTTTTAAGTTATATTCCTGTAACAAAAATAGCATCAAGCACTTTTAGTCTATTACACCGAACAATCTTTGCAATAACTTTTAGGGGTATAAGTTTCCATTCATAATTTCTAAAAGGTACTACCTTGATTGAGTTTACTAAATATAAAAAATGACAACTTGGGAGAAAGAAATATGAAAGAGTAGCATCCTTTTTAAAACGGATGTAGGATACTTACCTTTTGGTAGGCCCCTTCACCTGTAAGGTTCAGGTAACTCCCACGGCAAACCTGGCTGCCACACAAGCACACAGAAGCTTCATATTCTTCTTTACTCTGAATTTATCAGTAGAAAGCACCATAAGACTCTAGATCAAATTACCATAATTGATTTTGTTATCCAATGAAGTTTAGTATCACTTGCCTCTGTCACAGAATTATAATCAAAGGTGACCTCTTCACCAAATGCTATTGGACGCACACTGTAAATTCCAATTTGGTACTGGCCATCAACAGCAGTTACTCTGATCATATCCCAAATAAGATTGAAGGCATTAATTTGTTAATATCCCAGCTTATCACATGCAATAAAAATGCTATAACCAGGAAGCATAACGAAAAGAAGCTTGCATTCCATCATGGCCTGATTATGTAACCCCAATAATGCACACACACCCCCCCCCCCAAAGGCCAATAAGCTACCACCTCGTTACCCAAAGGCTATGTTGTGCACATTTGAAGGTGCAACGTTTCAGGAGCCAGATATCCAGAGCTTGATTTAAGCATAACATGCATTTCTACTTACTTTGCTTCACAGTTAGGTCTACATGAATGACAGATTCGGCTTGCATAATTCGCCTTGTGCATAGCATCAACAACAACTAGATCATACCCATCAGCATCGCCCTATCACGCAGAAATGAAAATACCTATAAACATTACCAACATAGAAAAATAAAATGTACATGTGCATGAGGAAGACAATCAATCACCGGTGCGTATAAAGAAGGGCTGTTCATAGGTCCAGAACAGGCCCAAAAGCACAGAATCCCTACCTAATTTGTGAGAAACCTTGATTCTTAATGTTATAAAACAGCACACACTCACAATCTACCACCACAAACACATACCAAGCCAATACTCAACTGATATCTTATACAAAAAAGAAAAGAAAAAAAATCACCTACATAAAATGGACGTGAAAGAAGGTAAATGAAGCTCTCATCTCAATTGAACAAAAGTTAATATTTAATATAAAAAGTTGGTGGCTGCTTACTGATTTAATGCTTGAATATACATTTATATCATTAAAATACAATACGAGTATTGACAATATGCGTACACACACCCTCCCCAGGCTATGTGGGATTTTATTGGGTTTGTTGTCATTGTTTGTTGTATTAAAAATACGAATTCTATTTTAGGCCTAATAGGCTCGGATAAAAAATTCTAGTCTTGGACCAGACCGAAGACCAAAATCTAAAACCAACAACCGAGCCTAAATCCATTTGGTCAGGGTCCTGTCTGGACCGACCAGTTCGGTCCATTTTTCCCATCCGAACAGAATAATGAACACCCCTTGTAGTATCAGGTACCTTAGGCCGTTCAAGATATATGTTATAGAATTCAGGGGCAGGATCTTTATTATTATTCTGCAATGAGCGGATGCCATCTTGTTTCTCAAACCACTTCCAAGCAGGATAAACCTAAAATAATCGGCACCGTACAAAGTTCAGAGACAGAGCACAACATAGAAGGCAACTCTTTATTTGGTTAATGAAGAAATGGGAATTAAAAAAATTAATCATTCTATATCAGGAGCAAGGAGTAAGGATCATTACCTCACCAAGGAACTCAACAACAAAGTCTTCTTGGCCAAATCCACCTTCTTTGTTGCAAACCACACCAAGTCCCTGTTTAATCCATCTCAGCAAGTCAAAATAAATGAATGTATTCAAAAATGAAGGCAGAGCAAATAGAGTTGGCCCTCACCTTCCGGTAAGCAACATAATTATCCTGAGGACGGCTATCAATTGCCTTCAAGATGATCCCGCATAGCATTCCAGTTCGATTGTCCTGATTTTCCTCCGCTTCTTTTAGGATCTCTTCAAAGACAGGTTTCAGAGGATATATCATAGGAGTGTTTCCATTACCTGTGAAGTCCCTAACTAGCCTGTTAAGAGTTCGTAGGAGTACATCTTCAATAAATAAATGCTTATCAAGGAGAGACCAATCAGACTCCTCGGGCATGGAATCAAGAAGAAGATTGTGTGTGTATGGATCAATTCCATATACTTCCTGCTCAATCACCTCATCCCCAAGACGCTTTCGAGGTTTATAAACCTTGACTTCAGGAATTTCCATATCAGACTCATCTATGCCATTTCCTTGGGCACTAAGCTTCTCATCATAATCCTCTGGCAAAGACACTAGCATCTTTCTTTTTACTTCTTTCTCATCAGCTACAATAACATAATGATCAATGACTTCGTACTTTCTAGTAACTGGAGGAACAAGGCTTGACTTGGTCATTCGAGCACCCCATTCCCGATCATCAACAAAGGAATCAAAGCCATCATCAATAGTAAAATATGGATCCCCTTTAGATTCCAATGTCCCGCTTTCAGAGTGCAAATCCAAATCACTTTCTGTTTCAGAAGCAGAACTCTCACTATCAGTCATGCTTTCATCAGAAGATCGGCCAAAGTCGTCGGTTTTTACACTCCTTGAGCGCAATGCTTTTACATTCAGCTTAGATAGACGCCTTTTTATTTCTCGATCAGATGCATCTTCACCAAAGTCAGATACACCATTAGTCAAGGTATATCCATTACTGGCACTGTTGTACTTCTTTTCAGTGGCTTTATTGAGAATCTTCCTATACTTAGAAGTAGTAGCCGAGAACCCAGGGGGTGAGCCATCCTTTGAACTTCTTGGCATCTCATCTCCATAAAATGACACTGGGCCTTCTTCCAGTCTTGTAGCAAGGCATATAAATGACTCAATGATGTGATTCATCTCTTTGGAATCACCACGATTTTTCATTCTGAATCAGAAGACAAAAGGTGAGGAAAGGTATAGAGTTCTTGAACATGAAGAGCACAAGATGGTAATAATTTCCATGACTCCATGCAAAGCAATCAAAAGAGAAAGAACTTAACAAGTCAATGATGTGTAAAAATATGAGCAACTTACTTCAGTGCATCATGACACATCCGGCTTATATCTTCTTTGACAGATCTGAGGCCATGGAGAGTATAGTATCCACTTTTTATTCTCTCCTCAATTTTTGCAACCTGCAGAGCCAAAGAAGAGAGGGTAATTACTAGAAAGTAAGTTCAGGATGCAGAAAAATACTCCATAGTAAATAGATACCTTTGGAATAAAAAAGTCGAAGGAGTTCTCTTTCATTATTGCCTTCAGGCTGGAGACAAAATATTCTCTCATTTTCTTGTAACCATATTCAGACTTTTTCATTGCCAAACGCTTCAAATGGGCATCTCGGGACAAGATAGAAGAGGACTTTCTAGCATCAAAAGCTTTCGAACGTTTGTATAAACTTCGACGGAATAACTGGTTTGCGGAGTCTCTCTTTTCTGAACTTTCCAAATAGTCTCTCAGTCCCCTTGACTCATCTACATGAGATGACAATGTCTTATCAGCTAAGTTCTTGAGGGGTTTCAACTTCAAACCCAGGCCATGACTTCTGATCCAGTTAATGTTTGGATATTTAAGAGGCAAATTTTCAAACTGGCAGCAACCTCTAATGTCTATAGTCAATAGGCAGGAGAATGATTGAAGGATTTCCTCAAGCATACTGGAGGTAATAGTGACACAACCGCGTAAAACCAAGGAACTAATCTTCTGCCTGTTATAGCCTTTCTGCAAACAAGATGTGTAGGCTAGTGTCAAACGATTAAATGAAACAGAAGACCTAAAGAAGCAAACAAAAATTTACATGCCGTTCCATCAGTAATAGCATGTTTTGGTTCATGGAATTTAAAAAAAAAGAAAACAGGAGTAGGATTATAAAGCCCACAGTAAATAAAGTGAAACCACTATATAACTATATCCTTTGGGTGGGGTGGGGGTGGGGGACTAATTATATTCTAATTGAGAGGTAATAACTAAATACAGATTTATGTACCGAAAAGCTTAAATTTGGACCAAATGATATAGAGGTTCTTCTCCTATAGAGTATTTCAATATAGAGCTTTTGCTTCAGTAATTGTTTTTTAAATAAAGCAAAAGGATTAATGTTCCATATTTGGTTGGCTTAATTAATAACAAGGATAACCTCAACCACCCACTTTTTTCATGTTTCCTTTATCATGTCCCATTACTCCCATAATTTCCTGTTTCCTTTTAAAGAAAGAAATTTGTGGTTCATATTTTCCTCTTTATTTTAAATAAACCTCAACAACACCATTTGAATTTATTAATCTCTGTACTAATAAAAGTTGGAATTTCCCACGGGGGCAGGGGGTATATAGTAAAATATCACCAGACAGTATTCTAGGGTCATAAAATTGAAAGGGAAGCAAATGGCCATTCCACGAAAGAGTTGTTCTTCCGTGGTAATAAAGTCCACATGTAAAATGTGGACCTTCTCACACTTTTCATGGGTCAGCAAGTGGATATTTTCTTTTTTGCAAAGGCCCATCTCTTTTATGATATAAATGCACTAACGTCCATAAAATGAGCATGGCCCTTGGGACCACAGAATAATTTGCGTTCACGAAATGCCATGCAATTCCTTGAATATTCCATTGAAAAAAACTCCATATGCCATAGGCGGATGAATAAATGTGCTTATAGGAACGAGTGTCATCAAGAAGAAATTACCATTATGCTCCTCATCATGGATTCTGTGCAACATGAAGAGAAAGAAGACAAGTCAACCTGCCTCGAGATGTCCTTGTAGAATCTAACAACAGATCTCCAGTGTTTACAAGCAGAAGCAGCATAAACCAGGGATTTTATATCAGCTTTAAGGAAATGAAACACCCTTGCAAGTATACGACCATCAAGCAACCCCCAGCTCTGCCTTTCAAGTTGGGACTCTGAACTAAGATTTTTGTTTAAAGGTGCATCACCCCATACCTCCTCAAATGAGCACTCATCCCTTGCAAGGGTTGTTGTATCATCTTCCAACTCATACTCGTCTCCACTTCCATCCAGCCTGGCCCTTTTGTTTGCACGAAATTGATCTGAGAAAAGGGAAAATAAATAAATAAATAAACAAACAAGTAGATATACATGAAATGACATGCCCTCAAGACAAGGGAAAGAAGGTTTTTGCATTGGGTGTTTCCTTTCAAGCAATGCAACAATCAAAGTAAAAATGCAAAACGCCTCAAGGTTCTCAAAAAAAGTTAAAAAACATATCTTCATTGAATGAAAAAAAAGACCGCATAGAGATATAGTGCATACCTGATTTATGAAAGATATCCAACTCCTTCTTTGGTTGTCTAGCACTGATCCAGGGATCTAAGACCTCATTGATAGCAGCAGCAAACTCTCTGCTCTTGTAAGTCTTCATCACCAACTCATGGAGTTTACCTCTAGTGAACCCAATGAACTGGGGATGCAAAGAATGAAATGTACTTGAAATGTTAGTGCTTCCACTCAACAAATCAGTTGACTTTGAAAGGGTGGATCCTGAAGCATCCTTGGACTTCCCATGATTCTTTTGGTGACCCTTTAACCTATCAGGAGTCTCCATACCAGAAGTAACTGGAACCCAGATCTTATCCGCTTTCCTATAGATACTGCTATATTTCTTGATAACACCTTGGTCAACCAATAACTGCAACTCTGAAAATGAAAAAGGCCCTTTCTCATGCCCAGCACCATCAAAATAGTACCAATCACCGATCTGCAATTGCAACTCACTAAATGTGCGAATGTGATCTTTTGGAATGCTCAAGGGTAATCTGCTCTTGTGGGAGCTGCGTGAGTCTGTTTCTGGTGTGCTTTGTGTGCAAGAAACAGCTTCTTCAGTCATCTTTGTATCACGGCTTGCAGAATATATACGGCTGGACCTTGGAGGACATCTTTCCTTTGCCCTAACTTTTGAACGGCTCTCAGACACAAATGAACCATGGTCCTTGACCACACATGCATTTATCCTGATCACAGGAAGCACCAATCCCCTCACACCTCTAACACTGGCAGACTTAATTTGACCAAATCTGCTTGCAGCATTAGAATCATTCCCCTCATCCGGATGTGTAAAAGCCCAGGAAAGAAGATCAAACTTCCTGCTCTGTGAAGGGTAATATAATTCATCCTTTTCATGCCACCTTGGATCTTCATTCCCAGATTGGGGCATCTGGCAAAGAGGATACCCATCATTTAGAACAAGTTTCTTTTTCCAGGATTTGTCTTGAGAAGTTTCATCATTCCTCCTCCAATCACCACCCTTGCATGACCAACGTCCGGAAAACCATTCATCAATGTCAGCACAGGAAAATGCATTATCTGCCTCAGATAATGCCATCAAAATTGGCCTAGATTCTGAGAATTCTGTTGGCGAAATCTCAGAGACACACTCAACGCTTCTTTCATTTAAGTGATCACCTACAAGAGAATGGTCCCAAGTGAAACCTGTACATGTTTAAAATCATGTTACAAATATGTCTCATGTATAACGAGTGAAAAATAATATTCTCAAATGATGTAATGATAACAAATATAACCAAGAAAAAAAGTACCTTCAATTTCATCCCATCTCTCACATCCCCTATGCTCTGAGCTCAATTTGAGCACCTCTGTGTGACAATTGGATACAAAAGAGAAGATTTTAAGATGAGAAAGAGGATGAAAATATAGGAACATAGTTCAGAGGACAAGGACAATGTTAGCAGACAGTTATAAAAAGGTACTCACCTCCAACAAGCTCAAGTTCCCGACCAGGGATTACAGTGATATCTTTCACTAAAGCCTCAACCCTTTCATCAATACAAAGATCTTCTGAAGAATCAGATGCAGTGGTACTGTCTATATAGCACGATACTGGAAATGAAACTTTCTCAATCATGTCAGTTTGAGACAATTCACCAATATCTTCTGAGAAATTACCAGGAGCCTCAGGAGGACTCACCAGTTGGGTAACAGTTTCTGAAACAATTGAGGGAAAATTAGCAGTCAGTATTGGGGAAACTGCATTTTCAACAGTTACCCACCTCTCAGTGTCTATGTGCTTGATGAAGTGATCAGATGCAAGACAGCCCTCTTCCACAAGTGTTTTCAGGCTACATAAGCTGCAAGGCCCTTGTTCCATACCAAACTGATCTAGGTACTGCCACTTTCCTACCACTGCATCAGCAGCCACAGGGACATGTGGTGGTGTATTGCATATGTCCATGTCCTCTTCCATGGAACAACCCTCCTCAGAGACTCCATATTCTATCAGCGACTCCATGGCACTCCCTGAAGGACATGGAAGCAATTCTCCCTCATGCCTCTGTTGCCCACCAGCTTTGCAAATCGATCCAATATTATTGCTGGGAGAACTTCTAGCTTCAGAATCTTTCACAGAAATGTGGCCATCCCTTGCACTGCAATCCTTCGGGTTAGAATTCTCATCTAGATGTTTAACTTCCACAAGACTTTCTTTTTCTTGCTTCTCGCTAGCCCCACTCTTCCGACATGTTTCCCTAGAATTAGCAGGCCTACCATGATCACGTGGGGACCTTTCCGTGAAATTGAGATTCCTTTCCTTTCGGTCATTGTATCGGGCTTGATCTGGTGGGGAACAATCAGAATAACTGGGGCTCCTTCTTTGATCAGAAAGACGACTGCGGCCATGGGGAGACCTACTTTGATCATCATGATGATTCCTATGGCGGTCTGGGCTACGATCCCGGGAATCAAGTTGACGGATCAGGCTCTGCGGGGACCTCTCAGAATGAGGGCTACTATTGTTCTTACTGCGAGCTGCTCTAGATGAATCATGATTCCTGGAAGAATGTCTCTCAGTAACAGAGTTACGACCAGACGTAGCAGTTCTGTACGATCTCTCCATAGAGCGGCGTGAATAGTGCTCTGTTGTGTGTGTAGAACGAGTACCATCATCATAAACTTTGCGGCATTTGGAACTAGAATGGTCATCATTCTCACCCTTGTATTTTCTGTCACTGCTGTCTGAATCAGTTCCGTGACGCTTCAAACGATTACCAGATGAGTATTCTCTTGCATGATTTTTTCCATTGTTGAGCTCATTCTTGGAGGAAGTTTCCTCGCTCACAATTTTAGAGTCAATCCTCAGATTCCTCTCTTCGATGCGTCTGGATTCATGTCTGGAAGATTTCTTCCCGTGCTTACCCCCGCCTCTTTTATTGCTGAAATCTTTGTCACCAGAGTACTTACCAGAATATGGTGGTGTCCACTCAGAATCATTTCCCCATCCCTTGTCCTTGGTAGAAGGTGGTGGCGTCCACTCAAGCTCTCCCTTCCACCCCCTGTCCTTTGATGTTTCATACCTGCGCGGCCTGGGATGGTCATAATCATCCTTAGCTGCAACTTCACTCTTCCGCCACTTATCATCCGGTATAAACTCACCTTTCTCCAATTCATACCTGTTCTCGTTCTTAGCAACCTTATTACTTCTCGAAGCTCTTTTCCGGTGTTTCCTATTTGAAAACACACTCTTCTGACCCTCCCCTCCTCTCCTCCCTTTCTCAACCACAACCTCTGCCTTTTCAATTTCACTCCTTATTTCATATTTCCTCTGCACTGGATGATTATCAGGAACATGGTCCTCTTTCTCCAGTGGCAAGGTACCTAGCTCGCCCTCCTCAATTTCATCACTCAAACTGTCATAGTTCTTATTCTCAACTTCCTTACTTTCACTTATCCCATTCAACTCCACCCCGCATTTTTCTTTATGTGGCTTCATTTTAGCATTGTCATTCACGAGCTTTGAAGGTGTAGTAGAGGGAGAAGAGAGTTTTTTGTTGTTGTTGTTGTTGTTCATGTTTCTGCAAGTAGAAAAACGCTCCATGATATGCTGTGAGGGCACGCATGCAACTCCGCCATTGCCCATGGAAGAAATATCACTGATATCCCTCCCAGGAAACTCGGCAAACCCGAACCCTACGAATTGCCTTCACCTTCGCCAGGGCTGAAAATGCTCATACTTCCCCGCAAGAATTCCAGTTCAACAGCCCCAGCTCTCTCCTCTGCTGAAGAACCCTACAAATTCATGGAAAACAAAGCACGTCACAAGCCAAATCCCGGCCCAATTTAGACCTGCGAATTCCCACATCAATTGAGAAAACCATAAAATCCAAAACGAAGCGCAATTGGAGAAGCTAGGGTTTTGAATCTGATTGAGGATGCTTACAAGTGAAATCGGGGAAGCACCGATGAGTCGAGAGATCGACGACCGAGTCAATAACGAGTCCGAGCTGAGTCCAAGTCGAATCGCGCAGTTCGCAGAGATAGAGATAAGAGAGAAAGAAAGATAAACGCAGAGAGAAGGCGCGCGCCGGATCGTAAAAATTGTTTCTTTGATTCAGAGAGAGAGAGATAGAGAGAGAGAGAGATTCGAGAGAAACCACAGGCGATGACACGAATCTCTCTTTTCCCCTGTAAATATATACTCCTCCTTCCCAAATTAATTTGAGTTTTGGATAAAAAAAATTAAATATATTTTGATTGATAATTTAATAAAATAAAATATGTAAGTTATATTTTTTATTTTTAAATTAATTTATAAATAAAACCAAATTTAAAAAATCACACATTATTTAAAGTAAGACGATTAATATGAGACGAGTATTTTTTTTAATTTATTTATGTTTTGGACTTTTAAGACAAAATAATTGAGTTGATCAATAAAAATAGCAAGAATTTGATTTTTTCCAATGAAACTTAATGAACTAAAATATTAAAATTTTATCAGTATATCATTTTTTATCTCTTAAATATGGACATTGACACTGCATAATGCCACAACTTAGTATTCTATATTGGTATTTTATAGTATTTTTGGCATTATATATTTTCACTCTTTGCCATTATAAATTTTATCCTGACTTAAAAAGTTAAGAGTCTTATATTAGTATATAACACATGTTTTAATCCCAATTACTCCAAATTAAATAATTCAGATAAGACTTTAATATTTTTGAAATTGAAGTTTTGAAAATTATGAGTGACCTTCATCACTGAAATAATCTCTACATTATTCCTATAAGAGATGTGTAACTTGAAACATTTCATTTTCTTAAATATGGTGTAAATTTTAATCGTCTACTATTATTATTAGAAAATTGTTTTTTCAAATATTACGAAGTCTAGCTATGTTTGGTTGGAGGGAGTAAACCGAAGGAAGGAAAATGGGAAAATCTCACTTTGCACTTAGCAAAAATGAAAAATACATTTATTTTTTAAATCTTTTTTATAGTACACATTCAAAAATTAAACTTAGTTCCACCTAGCTTTAAAAATACATGGAGTTAAAAAACTAAACGGGGTATTATTAGGAATTTGCATAAAAAACTTAACGGAGTACTCGGTGTTAGTTAAAGGATTCTAAAATAAATGTAAATAAAAATTCATTTTCATATAAAATAATAAAATGACTTTTTTCAGATAAATTATTCTTATTGCGGTACGAATATTTTGACCTTTGAAAGCCGGGTCAAATTATGTCGCGAGACTCCGTTAGTAAAATTGGTGCCCTATACACTACCCCAACCATCCTATCCCACACGTAGTTCGCGGATTTGGGCTACCCAAAAGGATAATTCCCCCTCTACTTTATTCATTTGTATTTCTTTCCTAGCCCGCATGGGTAGCTCAACTGGTTCAAGGAGATGATATTAAATTTATTGATTCTTGCATCGAATCCCGACAACGGTAGTGACGAATTCGATTATTTGTAATAGCTTCTTGTGTGCACCAAGAGTATGATGGACTATCTAAAAATCAGATAGAGATTATACAATGTGTTATCCCCTCAAGCCCGGGGTGGGGTTCCACCTTTGTATTTCTTTGCTTCACTTTCTTTCTTTTGCACTTTCAATTACTTAGGCTTCATTCTGTTCAACTTATTTTTTTTATTTGAACTGATTTTTTGTAGTTCTGATCTGATCTGATTAATTATGATTTGATTTAAAATTCAAATCAATAATTTGATTTGACTTTATAATAACGTTTGAAAATTGTAATGATAATTCATATTATAATACAATCAATATTTTTTATTTTATGATTTTTTTTTAAAAATAAAATAACTTAATTCATACATTAGAATAATCATTCATATTACTCCGTATAATGTAATAATATTTTTTACTTTATGATTGTTTTTTTGTGAAACTAGAATATTAATTTAATATTTTAATAATTACTTCATATATATATTAGAATAAATATTTAATTTATATATACATTAAAAAGTAATTAAAATTTAGTTAATCATAATATAGAAGAGATTGTATTTTTATTTAAATATTTCATTCTTATAAAAGATCAAAACTTTGGAAACTCAAATTACAAGTAGCAATAAAAACACATTTTAAAAGTAGAATTAGATTGACATTGTCAATGTATTTTAAAAATAATTTTTACGATGTCTAATAACTGAGGATTACTTTCTCTATTTTCTATTTAACTTGTTTCTAAAGTTTATTTTTTTTCGTTTTTAAGAATAATAATAATGATAATAATAATAATACTCCGTAATAATAATAATTCTTGATGAGATCTGATCTGATTAGATCCGATTCAATCTGATCTGATCTGATTTTAAAAGAATGGTCTTAACCCCCCACGTGTTCAGCATCCCGCGCCATTTTCTGCTGTTTCCTCAACTTCTGTTTCTTCTTCTTTTTTTCTTTCTTCCCAACCCTTGAGCCGTTTGGCAAATTTCTTCAATCGCTCGCGAAAATACGCCATTTCTGAAAGATCATCAATCCGTCAGGAAATCCCAGGTAACCATTTCAATGCTGCCCTTGCTTGACATAATGAATGCCGGCTTTTCCATATTCCAGATTTCCAGGGGGTCTAGATTTTCTGTGGTGAAGTTGCAAACCAGCTGCTTCAGATCCGTATCTTGGGAGCATGTAGAGATTTAAATGCGAGTTTGCTTTGTCTGGATTAGGTTTTTGTAGATGCAATTTTGTTCTTGTTTTTTGTGGGATGTCCCTAAATTTTATTCATTTCATTGTGTGGTTCATATTGTGTTTATGGCCTCTGCTTCATAAACATCAACCCAACCATATAATTTCTACTTTTTTGCACCAAACCCATGAAAAACACGGGACGGAGTGAGTATCTTTCATGGTTTGGGTTTCCTCTTTTATAGTTTTATAGTTTTATGTAGATTCAGGTTGTTGTCAGGATATGAAAGAAAACCTGGATGTTCTTTGTTGGGTTGAGCAGATGTGCTTAAAATGACCAATTTGATTCTCCAATTCTTTAGGTGTGGGGGCATTCCTCCTAGTCATCCAATTTTTCCTCGGTTAGTTCAATCGCGTGCTTCCTAGATTTGGGATCACATCATTTTCGTCCCCACAAAAAAATTCCTATGTTAAAAATTTAATGGTAGGTTTAACTAAATTTATGATATGTAACTTATATTTATTTTTTTTTTGAAAAAAGTAAAAGTCCATGTGGGTCGAGTGGAACTCTTTTATAGAGAAAAAAATATTTGAAAAACAAGATACTTCATTTTTTGGATGGAAAGGAAGTGCTCTCCGAAAATTTTCTTTCCACTTTCTTTTTTGGTCCGTCCACAAATGGTCTTCCCATTTCCTTTTATGCAAAGAAGTTTGCCTTAAATATCAAACTTATCCTTCCATTTTCAATGATCAGGTATCAAAACATCACTATTCATGTACCCTCTTCACTTTATTTAACACGATGTTGCAAGTCAATGCCGTTTTTATACATTAATATGTGTGCGGGGTCAAACCGGGAAGAAAATTCTTGGACGGAAGGAGTATTATTTTTGTAGGAATTTATATTAATGATTGCAGGTTTTGCAAATGAATATTTATTCTCGTAGTTGAGTGGTTGACTGAGTGTTTTTTTTGGAAAGCTGGATTGATAGTTAGTTTGTTTATAGAAACACTCCCACTTGGAAAGTATGGTGAAGGAAACAGAATACTATGACATTTTGGGGGTAAGTGTAGATGCAGATCCTGCTGATATTAAGAAAGCATACTATATCAAGGTGAGAACATTTACTCCATATGTTATTTTCTTGACATGTTTCTCCTCATTCCTTATTTCCATTCATTCCTCTTAGTCTTGGTGGGTGGTGAGCTGTCAGAAGTTTGCAAATATGGAAAATTGGAAATTAATACGCCACCAATAAAATCTAGTATAGTCCGAACTCCATTGGGGGTCTGAGGTCAAGATGTGCTTAGCCTTACCTTTATAAAATAAATAGTGAGGCTATTTTCGTTAGCTTAGGATGCATTGCTGCGTTTACTACAGAGAACTCAGCAAAAAATAAAAAGCAAAGGAAGTTAATGTGCCATTTTGATTCAATCCATTATTTACCGAATGATAAAACTTTGTCAATAATGACTCTTTCAGCTCCATTTGCAAATGTGGGAAATAATTAAGTATAAAGTTTAATTCTTCTCCCAGGCAAGGGTGGTGCACCCTGATAAAAATCCAGATGATCCCCAAGCTGCTAGCAATTTCCAGGTAATTTAAGGTCGTTTGTTTCCAGACAGTTATTTACTTATGTTTCCTTATTTTTCTCTTTTTGTGGGTTAAATATTACTCCGTATATTATACTCAGTATATAGAACAACTTATTTTTCATGTAAAAACATTTTCATCAATTCCTCAAAAAATACTTTCCGCAGCAAGTTTTATCATGTAATCAAATGGAGCCTTTGATTGGATTTATCAGTCAGTATCTCTTTGATTGTCATTTTTTCCAGAAAAAGAGCAAGTACTTGATTTTAATCTTAAGCATAATATAACTTTGTGAATTGCACCATATATTAATTTGCTTTTGGTGCTTATATTCAAAGGCTTTAGGAGAGGCATATCAGGTTCTAAGTGATCCCGAGAAGCGTAAAGAATATGACAAAAATGGGAAAGATGGAGTGCAGCAGTAAGTGCTCACCTTAAATTGGTTACAGTTAGTTGCATTACTTGTTTGTGCTCTTTTTTTTTTATTTTGAAGATATCAATAGCTTCTTCATAACACATTGTGTGAGCATTTATCAATAAATAAAAATGATCAATTGGAATTTAAACCAAGCTTCAAGCTGTGTTTTGTCAGTTTCTTACTCATGCCCAGGAATGCCATTTTGTAAGTTTGAGAATGTTAAAGTGGTAATTGGCAAGCTATAAGACCTAAGGATCAGTTTGGATGGAGATTTTCGGAGGGTTTCAGAGGAGAGGCGTTTAGATGATTAAGTCTACACACGCACACATATGAGCATTGAAGGAAAAACATAAGAATATTTTATGATTGGTTTGGGAGTATATTTTTTTGGTAACTTTCATAATATGTGTGATTTATATATGAGAAAGATTGGGTTTCACTTACGTTGGTTTAATTTCTCAGGGACACAATGTTGGACCCTGCAGCCGTTTTTGGGATGCTATTTGGAAGTGATTTCTTTGAAGATTATGTGGGACAATTTTTATTGGCTTCTTTATCAGCTGTTGAAGCTGAACAGGATACTTCCGATGATCCTGAAGTTCGAAACAAAAAAGTTCGGGAAAAGATGAATGTAATGCTTTGTTTGTTTCAACTCATATTCATGAATGGCGGCGAGCCACTGTGGAGAGTTCAGTAAAGAACGGTTTGTCCCTTGTTTACAGACATTGCAGAAGGAAAGGGAAGATAAGCTTGTAACAGTTTTAAAAGAGCGTCTCCATCCGTTTGTTGAAGGTCAGATAGACACTTTTGTGGATTGGGCAAAGTCAGAAGCATGCCGTCTTTCTCAAGCCGGTAAGACGATGTAACTTCCACTCTATTTTTGTTGTCTAATCACTTATGCTCTGTTTGGTTGAGAAGAACAAAAAAGAGAAGAAAGAAAAATGCTAGAAAAAGAGTGAAATTAATGCATTATTTGGTACGAGAGAAGTAAGAGAGAAAAAGTGAGTTTTAAAAATGAGATTTTCATATATGTCTCATTTTCAGCTTTTGGTGAGGCTATGCTACATACAATTGGCTACATTTACACCAGGCAAGCTGCCAGAGAAATCGGGAAAGATAAGCGTTATATGAAAGTTCCATTTTTAGCTGAGTGGGTCCGTCATAAAGGACACCGTCTTAAGTCACAAGTTATGGCTGCTTCAGGTGACATCAATGGAACAACTTGAATAGTATATATGATGATATCTTCTAGAGCCTTCCATTTCATCATGACACACTTTACTATCCCGTAAATTTATTCTAGGTGCTGTCAGTTTGCTGCAAATACAAGAGGAGATAAAAAAGTCATGCGAAGGAGAGAACACTCAAGAATCTATGGTCAAAGCTCTTGAGGAGAAGAAAGATGTCATGCTAAATTCCTTATGGCAAATTAATGTTGTCGACATTGAGACAACTTTATCCCGTGTTTGTCAAGCAGTAAGTATCATTTTTTCCTTTCTCAATTCATACTGTACTTCTGTGCTTGAGTCTATAGAAATTTGTCACTATGTTTTTTCTAATTTCTGTTAGACAGGACCAACCGACCAAATCAAAGCAAAGTAGAATATTTTATTGATGTAAAAACTGTACAGGATTATTTGTGTTCACTAAATATATATAGAGAACAGACCAACATGACTTTTACTAACCAACACAACTATTACAAACCAACACACCTATTAACAATAGAAACTACCCATAACTGCCTTTTAGAAACTGCCCTATTGTTTTTTTTATTTAAATTAATTAAATATNCACTATGTTTTTTCTAATTTCTGTTAGACAGGACCAACCGACCAAATCAAAGCAAAGTAGAATATTTTATTGATGTAAAAACTGTACAGGATTATTTGTGTTCACTAAATATATATAGAGAACAGACCAACATGACTTTTACTAACCAACACAACTATTACAAACCAACACACCTATTAACAATAGAAACTACCCATAACTGCCTTTTAGAAACTGCCCTATTGTTTTTTTTATTTAAATTAATTAAATATGTAAAACACACTAAACGACACCACACTAATTGACTCTATACTAACTGACCCAAACATCGACTCATTACTCATTCGGTTATATGTGAACAAACCCGATTAAATCTAACAATTTCACATGAACTTAAAATGTTAACTAATTGCAGACACTGTTTTGACGCTATAAATCTGATATCACGTCAGTCATCCCTCCAGCCCCAGCCTAGCTGGGATTGATGTGGCGGTGATGAAGAAAGAATTGACACATGATTGTCAAATATTTCCCATGAAGAATTTTATATAAATCCAAAAATATTTACAATTGGGATTTGGGAGCCAATGTCTATGGGCAAAACTATGAATGAGTAGTTTTGACTTGTTTATCAGGAATGGACGTTACCAAACACTTTTATTTTCTGCAAATTTAGTAGGCTCAGTCATTTCAGCCTGAGTAATTCTTACCCTTTAATTAAAAAGAGGGGAAAATTGACTAGAAATGCTCATCATGATAGATGACTTGACCATATATTGATTTTGTTTTACTGCTTTAAGCACTGTTTTTCCCCTGGAGTATTTATGAAATTAGTCAAGGCTTACGACATCATGAGCTTACTCAGGATATGACCTTATGTAGGAACATATAGAGATCTAGGATCAGAGTAGTTGGATAGACCCTTGAGCCTTAGTTTGTAGTTTATGTTGGTGCACTTTTATCTTAGTCTGTAGCTTGTGCTTGTGTGCTTTGGGTCTAATTGCTAGGGACGGTATGCTTGCTTCTTGCCTCTACGCTCTTACTTCATGTGTGCTACTGTGTTTACTTTGTCAGTGCTTTTTTGTTTGAGCCGACGGTCTCTTGGAAAGAGCCTCTATTGTTTGTGGGATTATACTGGGTTTGTTGTTGTTTTTTAAATCCAGGTCCTTAGAGACCCCACGGTTTCGAAAGATGTTCTCAAGCTGAGAGCTGCAGCAATGAAAAAGCTGGGAACAATTTTTCAAGTGAGTATTTTTCTTTCTTATTGTTACTATTGAATACAGTGTACAAGTTCTAGACATATGATGTTTCTCTGTATCTTTTTCTCCTACCGAAAAAAGGCAACTAGGCCCGCGCTTGGTAAAATCCGCTCCCCTATAATGGTCTATGATAAGAACAAGTATTGAGCCTAACTCACCTCAAAAGAGCGCTCTTTAACAATAGCTTCAATTGTTCATATTTACTCGATGTAAGATAAATCCAACACTCTTCGTCCTAAAATAACACTAGTACTCTCCGTAATTTTTTTTGGTATTAAAACGATAAAGAAAGCATTAGTCCTTAGCTTGTGGATTGTACCCATTAAGGGCCCGTTTGGTGAGCTAGGAAGGGTTGATGTGATATGAGTTTTGAAATCCGAAATGATAGGGTTTGGAGAGATCCGAAATGATGATTGTTAGTGACATGCGGGAGTGGCCGGTGGGGGTGGCTGATAGGGGTATTTGCCGGGTGGTTGAGGGAGATATCATAAAACCCGGATTGAAACACCTCCATTTCGGAGGGTTGTGATATCGAGAGATATCAAATCCCATTCCTGTTTAGGCTTTACCAAATCCATACAAAAAGGTTGTGATATATAGAGATATCGGAACTCATATCTCCCGGACTTGCCCTAAATATTCCCGTTGTACTCTCTTTATAGCATGTCATTCATCTTGCGTTGTTGGGCAGGGAGCGAAGGCGGCGTACAGCAGAGAGAGCAGTTTGCGCTGCGAGGGCCCCACCAACAACGACGCCATTAAAGGCAATCCACAGCCATCCTCAGATCAAACCTAACTTTTGGTTGATGTTTGGGTTTCAGCTTTGCCATCTTCACCCCAAATCTGATTCTTTAGCTTGTAGTGGTTGGTTCACTTTTGTTTTCTTTTTTAGTGTTATGGAGTTTATCTATTTCCATTCCCCTATGGAGCCAAAGATTCACTATTTTTTTGGCTTTGGGGTATGATGGAATAAAGCAAATTGACTCTTTAAATTGTTTGCGCTTCTTGCAATTGTGAAGTAGCAGTTAGTCAATGCAACTTTCGACTCTCATCATGAGTCATCTGGAAAACAGCTGCTCTATGTTTTAAACATAGGGGTCGGACTGCGTACATTCGATCCCCCTTACCCCGCAATGGGCAGGAGACATAAAGGCACTGAGGTAATGTTGTTTATTATGGAGTTTAGCTCATTCTTGAAAAAGTTAGAAGAGCATTAGGGTGAACATGAATGCTTGTTTGTGTTGTTGGGCATTAAAGTTCTGCCCCCTTTATTGTTTTTGTTGGTCCGAAATTAAGGCAATGTTTCTTTCAACTTATTGTTTCGGTTCGATATGGTACAGTTATTTTTTGGTATTTTATCGGTTGGTATTTTTCGGTTCGATAATTTCGAGTTTTTCGAAAAATTTCGGGATCGATTCGGTACTTGCTCACCACTAGATCCCAATACCGAACTTTTAGTTCGTTGTGGGTCATGATGCTTTGATATCGATACAAATTGTTATAAATACATACTTGCCTAATTTATACTTTAAAATATATTAAAACCCTTTATTTTTGAGAAATAAAAAAATGCATTTAAATAAAGAAGCATTAAAAACTGAAAAACTAATAATTAAATTAAAGAAATGCTCATAAAACTTAATTTATATTTTACAAACTAAAAGTATTCCAAATGCTTGTGAATATTTTAAATTCATCTACATAATTTTATAACTTGTGAGAAATCATTTCGTAACATTCCCAAATACCAAACTGATTATTCAATTTGGTACACAGTTACTCCGTAGTTTTTTAGTATATTTTTAGTTTGAATTTCTCGGTAATTCTAGGAATTTTCAGGTTTGATTCTCTACTTGTTCACCCCTAATTGCATGAGTACGATTCCAGTTTATAAAATGCCAAAAGGCATGTGAAATGCAAATAACACGAAATGCTAAATTGTGACATTGCACACTGCAACACTTGTACTTAGAAAATAAAAGCATATAATATACTCCCCGTGAAATTATTTTTGGTATAAGAATAACTAGTGTTAACCACGTGCTTTGCACGGGCTCGCATACATTCTAAGAGCTTGACAATCTATAAATATAATTTTTTATTTTAGTTTTCTAATAGTGATAAAATATGTTTTAAACTGGTGGAATATATATTAGTATGTTAATTTAAAAACAAAAAATCTAATACAAAATCAATGGTCATTGAATGAAGTACTAATGAAAATGATTTTAGTGAATAAAATATAATAATAATAAAAATTGACTAATTAAATAATGATACACCATTAGAGATGTGACATAATGTCACTTGTCACCCTTCAATTAAACCAACTTTATTTTATTTACTTTGTTGAAAATATACGTAGTACTAAAATAAATAACGTAAAAAGATAAAAGTTTTGAAGCAAAGTTTTTAATTCATAAATATGCATATGTGATTAAATTTATATAACCATTTTTTGAGAAGTTAATAAACTAAAATAAATAGTGAATAGTATAAAAATAATCCTATATATATTTATGTATGTATGTATGTATGTATGTATAGATACATACATATACATACATACATACATACATACATACATACATATATAGACACACACACACACATACACATACATACATACATACAACAACAAACAACAACAACCCAGTTGAATCCCACTACTGTAGGGTCTGGGGAGGGTGTGTGTCCGCAGACCTTGCCCCTACTCGAAAGTAGGGAGGCTGTTTCCAAGAGACCCCCGGCTCAACCTGCACAAAAAATATGGTAGGAAACACAATATAACAGGATAACAGGATATAACGGGATATAACAGAATAAAGCACCAAGTACAATGAAATGAAAGTCCAACAAGCAAAAGTAGAAGATTCCAATCAAACACAACACACTACAAAAAACCTCTGCAGCACCGAGCTCCTAACCAGCTACTTTAATCCTAGTCCACCAAAGGTCCCTATCTAAAGCCATATCCTTAGTCAGGGTGAGAAGTCTTAAATCCTGCCTAATCACCTCCTTCAATTTCTTCCTATGTCTACCCCTTCCCCCCGATAACCGTGATCCTCTCGCACCTCCGTACAGGGGCATCAGCATCCCTCCGTCTCACATGCCCAAACCATCTCAACCTCGCTTCCCGCAACTTATCTTCCACTGGCGCCATGCCTACCTGACGTCGAATAACTTCGTTCGAAATCCTATCCAACCTTGTCTTCCCACACATCCATTGTAACATCCGCATCTCCGCCGCATGCAGACGACGCACATGAGTTTTCTTAACCGCCCAACACTCTGCCCCGTATAACATAGGAGGTCTGACTATGGATCGGTAGAACTTACCTTTCATCCTGGGCGAAATCTTTGGGTCACACAACACCCCTGAGGCCAACCGCCATTTGGCCCAAGCCACTCCAACACGATGTCCAACATCCCCGTCTAACTCCCCATCCGCCTGGATTACCGAGCCAAGATAACGGAACCTGTCTACCTTAGGTACTACGTGAGAGTCAATCCTAACTTCCACTTCTGATTCTGTTTCCCGGCCGCTGAAACAACATTCCATGTATTCAGTCTTGTTATATATATATATATATATATATATATATATATATATATATATATATATATATATATATATATATATATATATATATATAGGTTCAGGTGAGAATGCAATCTAATGAAATAAAAATAAGAATGAATCTGATGCATTAGATTGGGAGATCTAAGGGTTAGGATTGCATCAAAATTAGGTGCACCAAGATGGTTTGAAAATGCATCATGTCGAAATGCATCATAATCCTTTGAAAATGCACTATCTCAAAATTTGAGTGCAGAATGCAATCTGAGCCGCACGATGCATCAGATCTAAAGGCCAGATTTTATTCTTATTTCTTTCACCAATATGCATTCTCACTTGAACCAGCCCCTATATATATATATATATATATATATATATATATATATATATATATATATATATATATATATATATAATACGGAGTATATTTTACAATGGTGAAATGTATGTTTATAAAATTGTTAAAAATGAAAAAGTTTTATACAAATGTATTAAAAGAGCTATAAGAAAAACTAATTGGACCAATGAGATGCATCCACCTCATAAATGGGTGCTTATGTGGATGCATATGTAGCATGCCACATGTCAATACTACAACAAATTAACTCAACTTTACATACTCCCTCCGTCTACAAATAAAGTTTTCATTGCGCGTTACGATGTTTGACTGAAATTATTTTCAAATCATTTTATATGAAAAATGGTATGGAATTAGAAAATAAAAATTACATATTTAAAAACTACATGAAAAAATCTACAAAACTAGATGTGACATGACTATATTATTTTATCAAATAAGACGCAAAAATAGGCCAACAAAGTGAATAAAGTTTGACCCTATGAATAGTGAACGAGAACTTTATTGTTGGACGGAGGGAGTATATATATATATATGATAGGATATAGGATAGGATACTTTAGTTCATGTATACGAAGTATTTCTTTATCTAATTAGCTCGGATAAAGGTTCATGAGACCTAAGTTTTATGCATGTAAGAAGTATCTTTTGAAAGATGATATTATTACTCTTTCTGTCTCACTACTAGTTTTCTAACCCCTACGTTGCACGGATATTATTTTGAGTCAGTGAAAAAAATAAAAAATAAATTTATAGTGTATATAAAGACAACACAACGAAATTGTATTCAATATAAACATTAAAAGTATTATATACTAATATTGAGAAATGTATACTGAAGACAAAAAACGAAATTAAAGGTTTTGAAAGACTTCCTTGTACAACATATTTCTAAATCAAGTTAAAATAAATGTTGAACAAAAATAGTGTACAATAACATAATCAATTAAAATGTCAAGTCAAACACAAAATTTGAGGATGAGATGTGATTTGAAAATTGCCCTAGAAAAGCGGTGTTTCTTTGATGAAAACAGATCCAAAGCATTTGACATTATCGAAGCCCTGTCACACGTTTCTCAGTGTAAAGTCATATCATGCTTTTACCATTTTCTCATAAACTGTTACACTTTCTCATAAGTATTTATTTAAATTATTAGACTTTCCCATAAACTTTAATTCTTTTCCATAAACTTTTACACTTTTCCATAAAATTTTATACTTTCCCATAAAGTATTTGTTTAAGTTATACTTTTCCATAAACTTTAACTCTTTCCCATAAACTTTTACACTTTCCTATAAAGTATTTATTTAAGTTACACTTTTCCATAAATTTTAACCCTTTCCCATAAACTTTTACACTTTCCCATAAAGTATTTATTTAAGTTACACTTTTTTCATAAACTTTAACTCTTTCCCATAAACTTTATACTTTCCCATAAAGTATTTATTTAAGTTACACTTTTTTCATAAACTTTTACTCTTTCTAAAAAACTTTTACACTTTCTCATAAAGTTGTAACGCCCTCAAACCGGCCTAGTTTAAATAAATAAATATTATTTATTTATTGAGACTCATTATTTTTAATAATAAAAATTGAGATTTCGATCTCTTTAAATGGTTTTCCAAAACTAATGTATTTTAATATAAAGTTCTTAGAAAAATTATTTGAGCATGTCATTAAATTTGTTTTGACTGTCTGATTCCAAAAACGCAAACAGATCTCAATTCAGACCCGTTTGGGGGAAAAACTGTGTATCGTTCAGATCAGATTCTACACAACAGGGTGGAATTTAAGGAGGTAACTCCCCAAATTATGAACCACACGCCACACACCCTTTCATTTCCCATAACCACCTCATTCATTCCCAATTAATCCACAATCATTCACCCATTTAATCTCTATTATTAAAAACCCCCTCTCCCATTCATGTTATTCATCATTTGTAACCCCCATCCCTTACTCTCATCAAATCCTCTCCTCTCCCTCTTCCTTCCTTGCATTCGGCCAAGGCAACAAGCGAACCCAAGGAGGATTCCAGCGAGTAGACGGGGAGGTAGAAGAAGAAGGTTCACGCAAGAAGTTTGTTCGTTCGTTTGTTCATTCATCGTCATCCATTCGTTCATCTCGTCCTATCATTCCGTCAACTCCTTCAACTAGAGGTGAGTAGTTGTCCCCTCTAATTCTAGAACATTCAGTTATAATCTATATCATTATATTCATAGGAAT